AAAAAGGGGGGGGGGGCACCCCCCCCCCCCCCCCCCCTATTTTTAGAAAAAAATTCCCCGGGGGGGGGGAAAAACCACAATCGGGGGCGAGAAGGCCCGGCGGGGAGAGTGGGGGGGGGCCCCCCCCCAGAACCCCAAAATTTTTCCTTCCCAAACCACAACCCAAAACCCCCGGGGGTAAAAGAGGGGGGGGGCCCCAAAGGTTTAAAATTTTGTTTTGGGAAAAACCCCCCAAAAAAAGGGGTTTGGCCCCCCCCCCCCCCCCCCCCCCTCGCCACCCCGCCACCCCTTCGCACGTGTCACACATCTCTTGAGCCCCAAACCATGTGTGTGTTCGTGGATGACGTCATGCTAATATCAATAATGCTGAGTGACTTTGGGGCGAACAAGTCCAAGAAAAAACATAGCAAAAAGAAGGAGAAGAAAAAACAACAAAATTGCCGACCACCATGGGGAGGTAGGTGGTCCGTCTAGCAAGCAAGAGAGAGAGGTCAGGACGGCGGGGGGGGGGAGAGGGTAATGTGGAAGCGACCTTTCGAAAAGGGTTCATCTCTCTAACGTCCGTCGAGGCATTTTTTTCTCTTCTTTTCGCAACGACTTCACAGCCGTAGAGGCTCAGGACTTCACTCGCGCTTGTCGCGCATCCAACAACAACAACAACACACTACAGTAGGTGTCCCGATATAGGGCCGGTCAAACCTCGGGGCACATACCGGCAATATACCAGGACACCTACTTGTACTGCATCCCCACGTACATCCACCCCATAAAGGAACACGGGTCACGCCCACTCACCCACCCCAATGCCCTAGATCCCGGGAAACTTCGAGCGACAAGCGCCGTCGTCAAGAGCGTGGTACGCAAGAACATCCTTCCCCCCGGAAACAAAATCATACACACACAGCAATCGTGGCTCCAAGATTAGAGGGTGGTGTGACAAAGGCCCTTGACCCTCTTATATCGGAGCCCGCTCTCCTACCGGAATAAGAGGGTGCCCAACTGGTCGACGAGTCCGTGACAACCGATTTCGACTCTCTTGCATCGGAGCCCTCTGTTTAACAAGGTGCCCTCAAATATCGGAGTCACGACTGTGTATGGCGATCAGCTTCCTCGAGGAGGCGGTATCGTGGACTCTTGTTCCCCCTGAAGGCCTGCCCGTCCATCCCTCCCTCCTTCACATCCCGCCTTTGCTGATGTCGTTACCGCCGCTGTTGAGGCTACGGCTGTTTTTGTTGCTGGCTGCTGCTGCTGCTGCTGCTGCTGCGCTGTCGCCGCCGCCCGTCTTGGTGCACCGCCGCTGAGCCGTGCTGCCGCTACCACCGTTGCCGCCGCTGCCGACGCTGTAGCAGTCGCTGCCACGAACCTCCCCCCCCGACGCCCGGCGTTACCCCCGATTCTCGTTAAAGCCCGGCTAGCAGCCGCAGCAGAAGAGGAGGAGGAGGAAGAAGCCGACAGGGGCGCTCTCGGCTGCTGCAGGGCGTCCATACCCCCGCCGCCGGCTGCGCCGACTGCCGCCGCCGCTGCATTGACAACACCCGGGGGTAGCAAGCGGTGGATCCTCTCACCGTGACAACGCTGCGTCAGCGTGGTGGTGGTGGTGGTGGTGTGCTTACGCCAGCCGCCGCGGCTGTTGAGGTCGGCGGTGGTAAGCGTAGCCCCCGCTCCCAACGCCACCGCCGCCGCCGCCGCCGCCGCCACCGTAGCAGCAGTTTCGCCGCCACTAGTACTGCTACTGCTGCTGCTGCTGCTGCTGTTGTCACGATACCAGGCCGAGACCACCGGCAGAAGCACACGAGGGAATAGCAAGGGCTCCCCTCCCGCAAAGAACAGGTGACTCCATGTCGCCGCCCCTGCCGCCGCCGTTGCCCCGCAGCAAGACATGGCCACAACAACAGGCCGCTCCTCGTCTAGCTCTTGCTGCTCCTCCCCGTCTGCCTCCTCCCCTCCGCCGTCTTCCCCCCCCCGTCCTATTATCGGCTGCTGCGCGCCCCCCTCTACGCCCGACCCGACCGGGGACGAAACTGACGTATTTCCCCCCGGGGACGATTCGCTTCCGTTCCCTTTCCCGCCGGGGAGCGACCGTACCCACCCCGCCACCCTACGGCCGCCCGCCTTTATTCTCCGGACTACTCCCCCCCCGCCGCCTCCGCCGCCGTCTCCACTACCCTTACCCTCGCCGTCGACATCGCCTTTCACGTTGTCTGCAGCAGCAGCAGCGGCGGCGGCAACCGCAGCCACGGCAGCGGCGGCGGCGGACTCTACCCCCGCGGCCACCCCACCACGCTCTTCTCGGTCGCGTGCCCCCCCCAGCCGCTCTTGCTCCCGGCGGGTGGCCTCCTCCTCGATCGCCTCCAGCTCGCGGAAACCATCGCTCGAGAACAACACAGAAGGGGAGGAGGACCAGGAGGTTGAGCCATCTCCTCCACCACCACTACCACCACCACCACCTCCAATGCTGTTTGTGTCCGTGCTGTCCAAGTTGTCCACCGGTTCATCGGAGAGCCCTTCCCCCCTCCCCGCCGCCGCCGAGGCCGCTCCCAGAGAGGCCTTGATGTCGTAGTACCCCTGCCAGGTGCCGCTGCGGTAGTCGAAGCTCAGGCCGAACTGCATGAACGCGGCGAATCCGGTGAGCTCCACCTGGCGCCATGGTTAGCCGTGGGAGGGAAGCGTACTCTTATGTATTGCATGCCTTGCTAGCGGTTAGACCATTGACCACGCGTCCTCGAGAGGACGGAGCATTGTTGTTCCCACAGGACCGATCACCGATGGCCAATCGTTCCTTCCTACTTTGCCAAAGGTGGCTCAAAAATGTCTTCCCTAGTCTGTCTATCCTATTTAACGATATCCCTTCCCGCCATTTCAAACCACTTCCTACTCCCCAGTACAGCTACCGTCCTCTCCTCTCTATTCCATGCCTCAAACATCTCCCTGTACGTCCCTTGTATTGTTCCCAGCTCAGTCATGTACACTTCCCTCTCCTCTTCGTACCACGGACATTCCGCGACTACATGGACACGGTCTTCGCATTCGAAGGCGCGGGGGGGGGGGGGGTGCCTGTCTTTCACTTCTCCTGCCCTTCCGTGACGCTTTCCTAGCTTGCGTTGATTTTTCGCTTTACGTCTCGTCCCGTATCAAAGGCCGTATTCGGTCGAAAATTTCCTTCCACACTCTCTCAGGTAGTCACCCAAATTCCTCCCGTTTGTCTTACGCGCGGATGCACGTAATCAGTGCTGTGTGGCGATTTGCTTCTGATTTTAAATCACTTGTCGTCTTCTGGCG